TGTTTAACTTGTCTGCAAAAGCCCTTTCTGCTATCCATTCTTCTTACCTATTCGATTTGTTTGAGGAGTCAAACAACTACAGTGGTGATTGTCTAGTCAATTTATCCGTGAATATATCCACTTCCATTGTAGCCGCTTTTACATCACATTTATTCGCTTATTCTCGAATTGTTGATGTAATTCGAGTACCTCAATCGTGTCCTTAACTGTCGAGCCCGATTTTGTAACCGATAATTGTATGAATAACGCTCGAGCACAATTTTTCCTTACTTATAATAACTTTAAAACCTGACCACAGTTTGGAGGTATCCACTAGAAGAAAACATTTTTTAATTAAAGCATTATTTACAACGAACTCTAAAACTGTTTATTGAAAAGAATTGGATACTGGACAGAGGAATTTATTTGGAGGCAAAGTCAACCTTTAATTATATTTTCTTGACATGACAATATAGAGCACGAAAGGGGTATGTTACGGACTCCTGCAATGGTTGCTTTTATATCTTTCCTTAACCAGACCACTCTACTGCTTTTAGACTCGCACGGGCACGAGAGCGATAACGTCTGGAGGGTAGGGTGCTGTTTGACACCGACTGCGGTACGGGCATTCCCTCATTGTTCAGCCCTCTATGGTGTTGCCAACCTCTGTCTCCTTGATCACAAAATTATTGCTAAGGACAATTTCGTTTTCCGCATTACAGGCGAATTTTGCTTCCTTCTTGAATTTCGTAAGGAATCTAAGGGGTTACTTGTTCAAGCAGAGGATTTAGGCCTAGAAGGTTTGTTTTGTTTGCTGCATAAACAAAACAGCTAGTGCATTCGCTACCAGAGGTCATAAGGAAAAGTTGATTACCACAACTCATCTGTTTTATTGTTTTTTTTTTCTCACGACACTAATTACTTTTATCTTTTTTTCCTAATTCAACTGATTTTCTTTTCAACCAACTTCGTCACATATGTGTGACGCATTCGCAGAGCCATTCGAGTGTGGTAGAATGTCGGTTTCTAAGGCGTAAAGTTAACCACCATGGCCCGTTGATTGTTAATTCAGTGCTATTTAGACTAACGACTGCTGCAACGCATTTAGTTTGCCATTCTTTATGCTTTGAACAGAAAAAGCAATTGTTTAAACCCCAGTTTCTGAGCAGTGCACGTTATCCAAACAACTTATCAGATCTGTGTAGTAACTTGGATTAATGAATGTTTGCTAATTGCGTGATTACCGCAATCCCTTGAGCTGAAGCAACGAAGTAGTAGTTATATTCTGGTGCTGTTTATAGAGACAGAATTCTAGCTAAGTTGGCTAAGGCCAAGTTTTGCTTCTTGAAATAAGAAATTTAGTACTAATAATTAGGAGAATTTGAAAATGCTTAATAAAACTCAAACGGGTTAGTAAAAAAAGTCCTCCCATGTGACTTATCTTGTCCCTTCATTTTCCCTACTGACTCTCATTTCCCACAGAGGTGTCAACCATTACTCGGACAAATAGCCGGGAACAATTCGGAGGATGCGGCAATACAGAACTTCCCTCATACTTCGGACGTGTGTACTACGCACTGTGGGCAGTGGGTCGCTTGGGAATTGCCAATGATACACCCACTCGCTTCACGAACGTTGGAATGCGAAAACCATTCATCATCACAAGTCAGTCCAACAGCGGCCAGCTCACAAATTGCAAAAAAGTTATTGCAGCGTGGTATGCCAGAAATGGCAGGAATCATTTTGGTCATTTGATACTCAAGCAAGGGTGACTGACACGCCAGAAGTTGTTCGTGAGTAGGCGTTGCTTTCTATTACGTACTTTTAATAAGGATGATGTGTCGAGTGCATCTATTATCGCACACTCCTAAGTTGAATCCAGCCAGCTTAATTATACGCATGTAGAAGAGCTGAAAGGACTGGTAACATAAATGACAGGCGACTTTAAAGAAGTTTCGCCAAATCCTGCAAATGAATTTATTAGTTATCACGACATTCAGATCTCATGAGCATGGGCTGACTCCTGTCCTATGCTGGTGTCGTAGGCAGTCCTCTACATGTTAGCAAAATGAGAGTGGCATTTTTATCAAACTGGAACATCTGGCTCTAAAGTGGAGCCACTGAAGAACACTTCAATGATACCACGCGCCATAGTGTGAGGCCATTGCCTCCAAGTTTACACTCACGACTCGCGCATATAACATCTGCTGGGCCAGACCCGATTTATCAGGACGACAGCTAACGGTGGTGGTGAGTGCTTGCTTACAGCAGCACGTGAGGTCTGATGAACTAAGTCTCCTCTAGATAAAGACGTGGTGTACACAATTCAAAGACGACCGCACGTCTTTCCGCCTGTGTCGAGCCCTGAAGTTGTGTCCTAGAAGTCATTTCTGTGAACATTTTAGCTGTCAAGTGGAATGCCTCATCCTGCATGTACGATGGACGCGCAATACCTTGTGGGTTGGTATACAAGAGATGAATCGGTCTATGTGTACGGCGAATCCATAATAGCGTAATTGTTCGAGATTGTTTGCCATTTTGAAGAGTGTATGCACACGGAGGGATAGGTCTGCTTAACAGGAATACAACAGGCAATTTCTTAACGCTATATTTAGCATAGCGTCATTTGCTATGAAATTTTCATAAAATGTTCTTTCTTGCCTTAAAACCACTAAAGTTGTTTTAATAGGTCAAAGTGGGTGGAATAAAACGAACCCATTGCAGGTGGATCACACTTAATGCGGTCTTGTGAAACCGGCTTTTGTTGTTGTCTGAAAGTTGAAATAGCCCTTAACCACCGTTTCATTCTTCGTGTCAAGTGAATCTGACAGGAGCATCTGTGATTGCGGTGCAGCAGGATTTTGAGAGACGCATCCACGTTGACATGATTGATGCAAGGTGTGTTGCTACCACGAACTCAAAGGTGGTCACATTGGATTCGGCAACTCCCTTACTTGAGGAATTATCTACTCAGGGTGTGGAAGTATGTTTTCTCATTCCTGATTCTGCTCCATCTAGAAGGATGGAAAGATTTAGGAATCGCCGTCTTTACCAGTCGGCTGCCCCCGTACCGATTCAGTGGGCTAGAGCATGCTTGACTCCAACCAGAGACTTTAATAGTCTTTTTCCATTCACAGTAATTTATACCAGTCTCACAATCTCTTTTTGTGTTTATGTTTACTTTAACGGACATTTCCACCTAAAAACGATGCTCGAGACGCATTTTTTGCGTTGAAGACCAAACACTGCAAAGTGTGTAGCAAGACCATGAGCACGGGACCGAAAAACCATATAATAGCCGCGCATCTTTCCTACTTAGTGTAATTTTGTCTGCCACCTCCACTGAGCAATTTTGCTGGTTTAGTGCATTTCAGTGCTAGCCAATGCTTTGTGACTAGTGCAATGGTAACGACAATCACCCCGCATGAAGAGAATTTGCCAT